CAACAGTTCATTAAGTGTCAGCTTAAAGTTAACAACCGCACTGAAAAAAGTGACTTATGACCTCCAAGGTCCCTTTCAACTGTGTTATTCTGTTAATTCAAAAAGACTCGTTGATAGGGACAGAGAAGAGGATTCGAAAAAAAGAAGAGAGATTAGATTACTCTCCTATCCTGGATAGTCCTCAACTTACAATCATTTGTTTAATGACAATTCAGAGTTACAACGGCACTAAAAAAAATGACTCGTGACTGTTTTTCACACTTGCGACCGTTGTAGCATCCCCAAGGTCACGTGATCAGAATTCAGAGGCTTGGCAAATGATTCCTATTCGTGATGGTGGTCGTGTGATCCCCTTTTGCGACCTTCTGACATGCAACGTCAATGGACTCGCTGAACGACGGCGTTACTAGCTTAACAACTGCACGAATTCAACTTAACAAATTATGACAAGGAAGGTTACAAAAACCTTGGGCAAAAACTCAACAACTGTATGCTTAGCAATAGGAATTGTGCGCTCAGTTGTGGTCGTAAGTCAAGGACTACTTTGTATTTAACAACCTTTGGCTCACAAAAGCCCAAAATGTTGTTGTTTTTTCCCCTTCTAATTCTTACTGGTCATCGACCGAATAAATAAATAAATTGCAATTTCAATGAAAAAAAAATTAATCAATTTTTCTAATTCTCATCCAGATGCTTTTTTTGGTGGTTGGCTATTTCAGTTATTAGAGGTGCGCAGTGTGCAGCAGCAGCCCAAAAAATCTAACACAATCCTCGGTTGTATACACAGAGGCGTAGAATCAAAATCACGGGAAGAATTAGTACCGCTTTATAAAGACTTTAGTGAGGCCACACCTGGAATCCTGCACACAGCTTTGGTCACTCCATTACAAAAAAAGATGTTGAGACTTTGGAAAAAGTGTAGAGAACAGCAGCTAAGATGATTAAAGGCCTGGAGACTAAAACATATGAAGAACAACTGCAGGATTTGGGGTTGGCCAGCCTAGAGAAAAAGAGGACTTAGGGGGGACATGATAGCAGTATTCCAGTATTTGAGGGGCTGCCACAAAGAGGAGAGAGTCAAATTATTTTCCAAAGCACCAGAGGGAAGGACAAGGAACAATGGATGGAAACTAATGAAGGAGAGAAGCAACCTGGAATTAAGGAGAAACTTCCTAACAGAACAATTAACCAGTGGAACAACTTGCCACCAGAAGTTGTGGGTGCTTCAACACCGGAGTTTTTAAGAAGAGGCTGGACAGCCACTTGTCTGAAATAGTATAGGGTCTCCTGCTTCAGCAGGGGGCTGGACTAGATACCTCCAAGGTCCCTTCCAGCTCCATTTTGATTCTGATTCTCTTTTCTCTGCGTGGAGAAATAAATGGCTTTGGTCCGAGAGACCACGAAGCCAAGTCAGCTGGGAACCATGGGAGTTAGCAAAGGGTGCTTCCTTAGTATGAATATTAAGAAATACAGGTCGTCCTCAACTTACAACTATTTCTTTCACGACCGTGCAAAGTTACAACGGCACCGAAAAAAAGGTGGTATCCAGATAACAGCGGCAAGAATTATATTTGCACCATATGGGAAGAACGAAGAAACGCCACCAGGAGAAGAAATAATTAAAAAAAAATACTAGACTGGGCGGAAACCGACAGACTGAAATTAAGATTGAAAGAAAAAAAGAAGAAACAGAATATTTTCAAATTTGGGACCTTTTTTATCCATGGTTAGAGAAAAGATTTCGGGATTAGGAATTTAATTTGTATTAGTGAATAAGATACTCAGACAACACGTTTTTGTTGAAGGATTACTGTTGGATTCTGTTAAAAAATAATAATAAAACTTTATAAATTAAAAAAAAGAAAGAAAAAAGGTGGTATACAACAGTCCTCACACTTACGGCCCTCTTAGCATCCCCAGAGTCACGTGATCCAAATTTGAGCCCTCAGCCACCAGCAACATCTCACATCCCAGAGTCACGTGATCTCCACGTCTGACAAGCAAAGTCGATGGGGAAAGCCAGATTTGTTTAATGACTGTGCGATTCGCTTAACGACCGGCAGAAAAAAAATTAAAAAAAGATCGTAAGATCAGGCCCGACTTTACTGCCTCGCTTAAGGATGTTAAGTCGAAGCCTAAGGAAGATTTTTGCCTTCAACCGAGCTCGGCGTCTTTGGGTTGAAAAATTCCTTCAATTTCAACCTCTATAAAATATGTTCTTTTTTTTTTTCCCCTTGCCTATCCGTTTTGATCAATTGCTGCTGCTTGCAATTATAAAGGTCCTTGAGGGACTAGTATATTAGAAACCACTTATGTCCTCTTTCTGGGAATTTCTGCCGCCCGATCAAATAAAAATCCTTACTCCAATTAGTTATATCGGTAACAGATGTCTGTACGGGATCTCCAGAATACGCAGCCAGCCGGAGTACATTTTGCAGTCCTGTGGGGTAATCATAACCCCTTCTTCTTAAAAAAAGAGAAGAAAAAGAGTTTATTCCATGAGTATCAATCAGAGGGAGAGATTTAAATTTAATGAGCTAAATGGCAGTTAGCTGGATTTTTATTCGTGTGATATATATCTCATTGAAAGAAAGCTTTAATCTCGTTTTGTGATTTGGATTCCGGGGTTTTTTTTTTTTTTACTCCTTTATATATAAAACACTTGAGTAATTGTTAAAGTTTGTAAATTGCAGGTAGTCCTCGACTTACGACCAGAATCGAGCCCCCATTTCTGTCGTGAAGCGAGACATTTGTCGTTAAGCGAGGGTTTGCCCCATTTTACGACATTTCTTGCCATCGTTAAGTGAATCACTGCAGTTGATAAGTTAGTAACACGGTTGTGAAGTGAATCTGGCTTCCCCCATTGACTTTGCTTGTCAGAAGGTCGCAAAAGGGGGTCACGTGACCCCCCCAGGACGCTGCAACCGTCATAAGTATGAAGCAGTTGCCAAGCGTGTGAATTTGGATCACCTGATCACGGGGATGCTACGAGGGTCGTAACTGTGAAACAATGGTCACTTTTTTCAGTACCGTTGTAACTTTGAACGGTCACTAAATGAACCGTTGTAAGTCAAGGACTGCCTGTATTGTTGAAAGTGAATTTTAAAGTATGTGTGTTAAAGAGGAAGTTAAAAAAAAAAGCAACGGTAAAAAAAAAAGATGTATTAGTTAGAACTTATTGGTTTTAGAAATGGTTTTAAAGAAAAGTTTCATGTTTTAAAATTTAGAATAAGTGGTTTTTTCCACACACACCCTTTAGGGTTAAAAAATTTGAAAGGATACGGTGAATTTTATGAACAGAAATTACGATGGTCTATAAAGATGAAAAATATATTATTTCCCACAGCCGGGAAAAGCAGAGATTGTTAAATTGATTCCTTTATCCAAAGAAGAGAATATATTTAATTGTGCTTAGTAGTAGTAGTAGTAGTAGCAGTAGTAGTAATAGTTATGAATTGGAAGGGACCCTGGAGATCTTCTAGTCTAACCCCCTGCTGAGACAGGAAACTCCCCAATCTTGGCAACTTTAAGACCTGTGGACTTCAACTCCCAGAATTCCCCAACCAGCCATGCCTGTTTTTTTTTTCTCCTATCCCTTAAAGTGGGGAAATTGGAGAGGAAGGGATTATAAGAGAGTAAACGAGGCCACAATGAGTATGCTGGCTGGGGAATTCTGGGAGTTGAAGTCCACAGGCCTTAAAGTGGCAAAGGTTGGGGACCCCTGCCCTCATGACTCGTGGACTTCAACTCCCAGAATTCCTGAGCCAGCATGGGGGAACTATGGCCCCTTCATGATTCTTGGACTTCAACTCCCAGAATTCCTCAGCCAGCGTGAGGGATCTAGGACCCTTTTATGACTCGTGGACTTCAACTCCTAGAATTCCTGAGCCAGCATGAGGGAAACTTTGGCCCCTTCATGACTCGTGGACTTCAACTCCCAGAATTCCTGAGCCAGCCTGGCTCAGCTTGGAAACTTCTCCCTTTCCCCTCAGCATGGCTGGCTCAGGAATTCTGGGAGTTGAAGTCCACGAGTCATAAAAAAGCCAAGATGGCCTACCCCTGGCCTACACCAGCGGTTCTCAACCTGTGGGTCGCGACCCCATTTGGGGTCGAACGACCATTTCACGGGGGTCGCCAAACCACGCGATCCGCCATTTTTTTCTCAGCCGGCACAGGGGGCGGTGCCACGCATGCGTGCCGCACAGGGGCGGCACATGGGGGCGGCGCCACACATGCGTGCCGCGCAGGGGGCGCCGCCGCGCATGCTCGCCACGCAGGGGGTGGCGCATGGGGGCGTCGCCGGAAAAAAAAAAGTTAAACTTTGATTTTGTTTTTGTTGATTAGATAGGCTGGTTGTTAGAGAAAAGGCTAGTTGTGTAAAAGTACAAAACTGAGGTTGTAAAGTTATTTACCTTCTACTGGGCCAGAATTTGGAAGTCAATTCCTTTTTTTCTTTTGTCCCTTTCTATTCCACATTCTCTTTTTCTTTCCCCTCGTTTTCCATTGGCGGCAGTTCTTGACTTACGACCACATTTGCTTGCTAAGTGAGAAATTGGTGAAGTGGGTTTTGCCCCATTGTGCAACCTTTCTTGCCACCGTCGTTAAGCGAATCACTGCTGTGGTTAAATCGGGAAAAACGGTTGCTAAGTGAATCTGGCTTGCCCTATCGAATTTGCCTGTCAGAAGGTCGCAAAAGGGGATCACATGACCCTGGGACACGGCGACCGTCATGAACGCCAACTAGTTTCCAAGCATCCGAATGTAAGATCATGTGACCGTGGGGATGCTGCAGTGGTCGTAAGTGTGAAAAATGGTCTTATGTCCCTTTTTCCAGTGCCGTTGTAACTTTTAACGGTCACTAAGCGGTTATAAGTCGAGGACTTCACCTGTCCTTTGTAATTTTCCTTTCTATCCTACATTTTGATAAATTAATTAAAAAAAAATGAAAGCGGAAAAAATAACTCCTATTTGTGGCCCGCGCACACAATTCGATTTTGAGCTTTTTTTTAGAAAATAAATCGTTTATTACGAAATTATAACATGGATGTTCCCACCTGACACCGATTTTGCCTGAACTCCCTAGACTGAATAACAGTAGTCCGGAGACGCAGCGTTTTTTTTTTTTTTTTTTGCCCCGTCCCTTTGGTGTCGGAAAGGAGACCGGCCCAAAGTCCACGTTTTTAGTCCTTCCACGGCGCTGCAAACTCCACCGATAGAATTGAAGAGACCCGACGGTCAGCTGGGCGGTTTGGTTCTGCGGTCAGGGCTTGGGAGATGCAGTTTGAATGAAAGGTCAATCCATGCTGGCAAGACTGGATAGTATAGGATCCAGGAAGGTAGGGAGTCTGGAACCAAGGGATTTGGGGGGAAAGATGAATGCATAGAATATTTTAGATATTAGGAATTCGGGCGGGGACGGGGGGGAAGGAAACGTAAGAAACACAGCACAAATCGTGTCAAAATTAAAAGAGGGCCCTTGCAAAACGGGACAGGACGGGTCGGGAAAGGTAGTCGAGACAGAGGGGGGAAATAGGATACGAGCAATTGAAAAGAGGAAGAGAAGACGAGGAAACGAGAATAAAGTGGATGGTGGACAGAGTGGGACGAGAACCCTGAATGATATAGAAAATAAAGAAAAGAGAGGAGAGGAGAGAAGAGAAGAGAAGAGAAGAGAAGAGAAGAGAAGAGAAAGGAATGGAATGGAAAGGAAAGGAAGATAGAAAGAGGAAAGGAAAGGAAAAACAGGATGTACAGACATAAAAAATGGAAGGAAAAACATCGGTGAGAAACAGATACAGCAAAACAAAAGGAGGTAAATAGGAAGGATTTGGGAACCCATGAGGTGATGGAGCTTGTCATGGACAAATCCCAAACTGAGAACAAGGAAGCTGGTGGACGGAACAGAGAACGAGCAACCGAAAACAGAGGAAGGGGATCGAGGTCTACGCTCTTCCATGGAGGCATCGGGCCCAAGAGGGCTCAAGTTGGAGGAGGACCCTCTGGTGCACCGTACAGCTCGGCCAGCGTTCGGAAGAGAGGCCCCCATTCTTCCAGATACTCGTACCCGCCACCATCGCTGTCCCCAGCGCAGGAAGATCCGGGGGAGCTGAGAGACCCGGCAGAGGAGCCCTGGCCTTCGTAGCCGTACACCTGGAGGGAGTCATACGGAGGCACGGAAGGATCGGCGTCCACCTCGGTCAAACGGGCTGTCAGAAAACTGGCCACATCGTGGGGCTGCGGTGGTACCCGGGTGGACAGCGATGGTGGGAAGTGTGGACGGGGCAGGACGTCCCGCCGGAGGAGGCGCCGTTGCTGTGAGGGTGGAGGGGCGGCGTCTGGATTCTGCAGGGCAGCCATGTCGAAGGCCTCGGTGTCTTCTTCTCCGCCACCTTCGTCGTCGTAAGTGATGATGTTCTCACGAACGTCTTCTTCCTCAAAGGGCAGCAGCGCAGTCTGTTTCTGCCTCCGGAGGGCGACAAAGAGCAGCACCAGGGCTAGATGCGAGCAGGAAGTTGGCGCATTGGTGAAGCCAGATGGACCAACAGGAGGAGAAGGCGAGATGTTAATTACAGAGAATTACAACCCATTGCGAACACACACCAGTGCTTTTTTTCTTAAAAAAAAAAAAAAAAGGTGCCAGAACTCACACACGTCATACAACCCGCCTTGCCTACCCTACAAGGTCCATCCAAAAAAGGTGCCGGAACTCCGTTCTGGGCGTTCTATGAGAAAAAAAGCCCTGGCGAACACCCTGTCTGTATGTAATGGTGTGTGGGAACGGCCTTGGGAGACAGGGAGAAGAGACGCAGGTGAGGAAACAATCTGATAAAAGGTAATTGAGCCCATAGCTGTATAGTGGGCAGGACAGGTCAGAAGACATCCTCCCTAATTTCTTGAGCTGTAAACGCGACAGGGGAGAAACGTATTTTCAGACTTTCAAGATTAGGTCGTGAGGTAGCACTGCCAGCCAAGTTAATTCTATTTTATTGTAAGGTTATATTAACAGAGGGCGGCAGGGTGACTCAGCAGTTAAGACGCTGGGTTTATTGGCTGGAAAACTGGCAGCCCAGTTCAAGCCCGAGCGCCATGCGACAGGGTGAGTTCCTGTCCTCACCTCACCTCAGCTCCTGCAAACCAGCAGCTCAAAAGCATACAGACGCAAGTAGATAAATAGGTACCATTTCAGCGAGAAGGTAACAGCGTGACCTGTGATATGATGTCATGCTGGCCACATGACCTCAGAAATGTCTTCGGAAAGCACTGGCACAGTGGCCTTGAAATGGAGATCACCCCCTACAGTTGGCAGCAACTAGCGGAGTAAAATCCACAGGTACTCTTTTATCTCTTTTACCGTGTTTCCCCCAAAATAAGACCCGGTCTTAAATGCATTAGGGCAGGGGTGTCAAACTCAATTTCATTGAGGGCCGCATCAGCATTGCGGTTGCCCTCAGGGGGGCGGGTGGGTGTGGCCAGGGTGGGTGTGGCCTACTGGGTGGGTGTGGATGGAGTGGGTGTGGCCTGCTGGGTGGGTGTGGCCAGCTCTACATCGTTCGCGTCAAGGGTGCTGTGGGGGCCTGGGCAGGAGTGGGACAGATCTGAGGGTCTCTGGCGAAGGGGATGGGGATGGGACTGGGGCAAGCACCAAGGCATGGTCCATTTCTCTATTCCTCACAAAGGGTGATACCTCCCCAGCATGCACCCAGGGGGTGGGGCCGACACAGCAGGGGCTGGTTCCTCGCTGTTTCTAGACGGCCTTGTGGAGTTAAGACGGAATGCATTTCAACATAGATGGCCACCACAAAATTGTACATTGGCTCCCGGCCGGCCTGGGCCAGGGCCAAGGCAGCGGGGGCCGTTCCCTCACTGTTTCCAGGATGGCTTCGTGGGCCACATGAAACCACTTTGCGGGCTGCATCCGGCCCCCGGGCCTTGTGTTTGACATGTCTGGATTAGGTCTTCTTTTCAGGGAAACACGGTATCAGGGAGATCAGCCCGACCGGGCGCCCCACCGCCCAGCATGCGCACAAGACGTGGTGAGCGCACGGGGGCCGACGGTGTCTAGCAGCAGCCACTGCCTATCGGCCCCTTGGTGCAGTGCAGACAAGTCCAGCACGGAGACAGAGGCAGGGGGAGGCAGGATGCATTGTGCAGTTACTTGGCTCATGGGAGACTTGCGGGAGGCTCACACAGTGGCACCGGCAGCAGGCAGAAGCAAAGGCACCGGACACCGTGAGCCCCTGCCTGCTCACTGCCTCCTATACTGGTCACCCATCCCCAGTCTTATTTTTGGGGTAGGTATACCCTAAAAATCAGGCTAGGGGTTATTTTCTGGGTGGGTCCTATTTGGGGGAAAACACGGTACCTATATTAACAAAACACTGCAGTCTGAAGGGACATTTTTCCCTCCCTTCCCCTTTACTGCCCATGAAACTAGGGAGGGTCCCTCCTGAAATGCTTTGACTCAGCTGCCTCTTATCTACTGTTGCCAAATTTGCAGCTCTTCCTCCTGTTTCCCAAGGTCGTTTCCACTACCATTGTACCATTATACCTTACCAGAGAAACTCTGTACAGCTAGCCCACAGGTCGGCAACCTGCGGCTCCGGAGCCGCATGCGGCTCTTTGAGCCTTCCCCTGTGGCTCCCAGCCTCCTCTGCCTTTGCAGAGAGAGACAGAGACAGAGAGAGGCAATTGCGCTTCCCTCTCTCTCTCTCTCTCTCTCTCTCTCTCTCTCTCTCTCTCTCTCTCTCTCTCTCTCTCTCTCTGTGTGTGTGTGTGTGTGTATGAATGTGTAAAAGAGAGTACACCCACAGTGTTCTCCGAGGAGCTGAAAAGCTTATTGGGCATGACTCCTCCCTTTGCTGCGTCTCTGCAGGAAGCAGGAAGCAGGAAGAGCAGGAGAGAGCTAGCTAGCCCAGGTAGGCTGACTCAAGAATTCTGGGAGTTGAAGTCCATGAGTCATAAAAGAGACGAGGTTGCCTACCCCTGAGCTTGTTGGACAACAGCTTGAAGCTTGCCAGGTGAGCAGCAGATAGGAGAGGGGGGGAGAGAAAGAGAGAGAGAGAGAGAGAGGAAAGAGAGAGAGAGAGAGAAAGAGAGTGGGGGAAGAGGAGTGGCAGACCAAGGGCAGAGAGGGAGGGAGAGAGAGAGACAGAGAGAGAGAGAGACCCTTTTGACATCTAAAATGAAGATAACACTGCATATATCCTTTTTTTTACCTCTGTGTGTGTATATATACACACACACAAACACACACACACACACACACACCTATAATAAAGGTAAAAAAAGGATATATGCAGTGTTATCTTCATTTTAGATATCAAAAGGGTTTAGCGGCTCCTGGTGTTTTGTTTTTGGTGGGAAATGGGTCCAAGTGGCTCTTTGAGTGTTTTGGGTTGCCTACCCCTGAGCTAGCCAAACATTCCCCAAGGCTCAGTGACTTTTCTCCACATGGCCTGGGAATCACCACGCAGTGTTGATCCCCACCTTCTCTTGTTGAGACACTTCGAGTGAGGACGGGGCACAATAGGCTGACTCTGTAAACAGCTCTGAGAGGGCTGCAAAGCACCGTGAAACGGTATATCAATGCGAGTGCTATTGCTATTCTCTCACCCACGCCATCAGCCTGCAAAACTGAAATCTCACCAAGTAGGGTACCAACACAGGCCAGGATGGCGAGCAAAGCACCGGTGCTGAGGCCAGCAGGAGATCCAAGCGCCTCAGGACCACACGTCTGCATGGCCCCGTCTCGCCGACATCGGCAGATGCTGACTGTCAGAGTCGGGGATCCCGTGCGAGTCGGGGAACCGCCATCCACCAGTTCCAGGGGCACGAGCAGAAACCCGCCTTGGGGTGGCAGACGGGTAACGCGGAGCAACAAGGAGGCCGAATTGTCTGGAGGTGGGAAGATTCAAAGGAGAAGAGTGAATTGAGGACCAATATATTTCTAAAATGGTGGGTTCCTTATAGGTAGTAATAACCCAAGCCTTACGTTGTAGGTACGTGCAACCATATCCAAGGGGTAGTATCATGTTGATTAATACAGGGTCTTTTTAAATAGTTTTGTATAGTTTTCTGGCTGGGGAATTCTGGGAGTCGAAGCCCAAACCTCTTAAAGTTGCTAAGATTGAGAAGCACTGCTAAACATGCTCGTGACGTACTCTTGAAAATGTCTACTCTCCTTTTGTCAACAGTGCAAGTTCCTAGTCCATAAGGAACATGATAGCAGTGTTCCAATATTTGAGATGCTGTCACAGAGAGCTCCTATTCTTCAAAGCACCTGAAGGCCAGACAAGGAATAACGGATGGAAACTGATCTAGGACAGATTCAACCTGAAAATAAGGAGAAATTTCCTGACCGTGAGAACAATCAATCAGTGGAACAGAAATTGCCTTCAGATGTTGTGGGAGCTTTATCACTGGAAGCTTTCAAAAGGGGTTGGGGGAGGGTTGTATTGTTTTGTTTTTGTTTTTGTCTTATTGTAGTTGTCATTGTTTTTTTTTCTGTCTTTGTAAAAGTTTTTAAAAAAATTTTCAATAAAAAAAAAAAGAGACTGGACTGCCATCTGTCAGAAATGGTGTAGAGTCTCCTACTTGGGCGGGGGGGGGGGGTTGGACTAGATGACTTACAAGGCCCCTTCCAACTCTGATTACTCTGATTCTGAAAGGGAAGCAGACTCTATTCTACATTTTCAGACAGGCGTGCGAGTCTCACCCTTGTTATCCCGCACAGTGACGTTTGGCTCTCTGATCCCAGATGGGGAACGGATGATGATACGGCTTGTGTTACCATCCTCATCTCGGTCGACTGCTCGGATCAGCTGCACCAGCTGGCCAAAAAAAGGCCAAAATTCTTCTCAGCCAGGGCCTTCCTCTCCCACCCCACCCTGTCCCATCAGCGCCCCAGCGACACCTCAACTTACTTGGCCTGGGGCAGCGTTATCACAGGCGAAAGGCTCGTAGCTCTGCTCCAGCTGGGGTGGGTTATCGTTGACATCCAGGATTTGAACGGCCACACGGACTTGGGAACCTTGTGTGGGGCTGTCTGAGAGTAAGAGTCGGGGGTAAGGAGCAACATGGAATCGCGTGACCGGATATGCAGGGCAATCCAGTTGAAAAAACGGAAAAGACAGATATGAGATGCGAATGGGGCACGCGATTCAGCCATGCAAGAAAGCCATAAAGGTCATCCACGGGGAACGAATGAGATCCATAGTCCACAATCCAGTGGGGTGAGGTTGGATCCCATTCATAACCCCCCCCAAAAGAGCCCATCATTGTACCACCGACAAAACCAGACAGGCGAAAATCACGTCAAGAGGTTGAAAGACGTGGGCAGACGTGCAGAGTTAAGACAGAAGAGAGCAACGGTGCACGGTGAAGCCCATTTGTGCATGGGTGGGCAAACATAAATGTCCAACGTGACCGATAAGTGAAACCAGGCAGCCATAATAAAACCATCCAGCCAACACGGGCAATCAATCAATCAATCAATCACAAAGAAACACACAGAAAGCGCAGCCCCACTCCACAATGCCGGTGCGCAAATATATATATATATATATATATATATGCACATTCGACATGCAAGACAAAAACAGAGAGTACCACCGTTCCAAGAGAGCAGCGAACAGATACAGGGATGCAGGAAAAAAAAAGAAGGAAAAGAAGGGGAACAAAATTAATAAACAATTGCCGTTGCTTTTTCTATTCCAGGTTAGTCCTCGTTGGACGACCACAATCCATTGCTAAGCAAGACAGTTTTTCGTGCCCGATTTTATGATCTTTTTCACCAGAACACTTAAGCAAATCACTGTAATTATTAAGTGAATCGCCTGGTCATTAAAAGAATCCAGCTTCCCTCGTTGACTTGTCGGAATTCAGCTGAAAAGGTCACAAAGGGGGGGGTCACTTGACCCCAGGATGCTGCAACTGTCATAAATACATGTCGTTGCCAAGCGCCTGGATTTGATCACGTGACTGTGGGAATGCTGTGATAGTCATAAGTCTGAGGATCGGTCATCGGTCCCTTTTTTTCAGTGCTGCTGTAACATTGAGCAGTCACTAAACAAACGGTCGTAACTTGAGAACAACAGGTAGTCCCTGACTTCCAACTACCATTGAGCCCAAAATTGATGTTGCTTAGTGAGACATTTGTTAAGTGAGTTTTTGCCCCATTTTGCGATTTTTCTTGCCACAGTTCTTAAGTCAATCCCTGCAGATGTTAAATTAGTCACACGGTTGTTAAGTGAATCTGGTTTGTCAGAAGGTCGCAAAAAGGGATCGCGTGACCCAGGGACTCTGCAATCATCATAAATACGAGCCAGTTGCCAAGCGTCCTAATGTAGATCACGTGAGCCTGGGGGTTCTGCAGTGGTTGTAAGTGTGAGAAATCATCGTACGTCACTTTTTGTCATTCTGATTGGTCACTAAATGGACTGTTGTAAATTGAGGACTATCTGTATCCTGGACTGATGAATCAAAATATGAAAACTCTACGTTTGCAACGAGAAGCTTCCACTACGTTGGTAGCCTCCCGGACGCCCACCCACCGTATCCACCCTGATCCCCTGGGCCCTTACCAAGTTCCGTTGCCAGTACGGTCATATTGTGCCAGGGCAAAACCTCTCGGTCGAGTGTCACCGAGGTCAGAATGGCGCCATCCTGCGGGTTGATGCTGAAATAGCGCTCGGGGTCCGTGTGCGGCAGGATGGAGTATCTAGAAGATGGAGGGTGGGCACCTGGGGTATCAGGTTGTCACGGCAACGAGGTATAAATGGAGTAACTGAAACTTCACACACAACAACAAAGACAACAAACACCGGCTCCCACCCTGCTGTTTCGTGGTTTCCCTCAGCTATTACCGGATGACACTGCTGGGGGTGTCAAGGTCCACTGCCGTGACTTTGCCCACCAGGGTCCCTGGTGGGCCGTTCTCATAAACGGCCAGATGGTACTCGGGACGGGAGAAGACCGGGGGTTCGTCCGCATCTTCTACCGTCACCCGGACGGTGGCCACGTCCTTGAAGGGGCCCTTCCGGATGTACTGAGGGTCGATCTGCGTGTTGGTGGCTTCGACTCGGAAGGTGTAAGAGTGGCGGGACTCAAAATCCAGAGGCTGCTCGCCGATCCACACAAAGAGGAACAACAACGAGAGGAAAACTTCGTGATTAGAAGCGAGCAAAAGCAGATGGTTCGACGAGTTGGTGCAGGACATACAAACGGCCAAGAATTGTTGGTGGGGTCTCTAAGACACCATTTTGTCCATAGAAAGAACATGAGAATTAGTTTGGTCTAGTGTAGGGGTAAGCAGGAATTCTGGGAGTTGAAGTCCATGAGTCATAAAAGAGCCAAGGTTGCCTACCCCTGGTCTAGTGCAATGGCTTCCAACCTTTTCTATAGAATGGAGAGACATAAGGTGGGACGGAGAAGAAAGAAAGAAGAAAGAAAGAAAAGAAATAGAATGGAGAGAGGTAAGGAGGGAGGGAGAAGAAAGAAGAAGAAAGAGAGAAAGAAAGAAAGAAAAGGAAGGAAGGAAGGAAGGAAGGAAGGAAGGAAGGAAGAATGGATAATGGCTCTCACATCAAATTTCCAGGAATGAAGGGAGAGTGAAGACATACACATAATTCTGGGGTTCTTCACCCACCTTTTTCAAAGTAATGATCCCATCCTGTCCCAACATGTCCGTGTGAATGGCAAAGGCCTCGGCTCCATCTCCTCCATCCAGGATGCTGTAGGCAAGCAGGGCGTTCTCCCCTTCGTCGGGGTCGTGTGCGCGCAGTCTCCCCACTGCAGACCCAGGAGTTGCCGTTTCCACCACAGAAAACTGGTAAGAACCTAGACAGAAACGGGATGGAAGCACAAGCAGAACACTTCATTCTCAAGCTTTCCACGTCCTTGGGAACACGGCATCCTCCAGACGCGTTGGACTACAATTCCCATCCTACTCAGCCACGCTGCCAGCCATAAACCACACGGGAAGCACCACCTGACGAGCTAATTCTACATTACTTGCAAAGCGACCTTAATAGATTCTTGCAGGTCTAAAGGTACAAATCTCCCGCTGCCTCTTTTAGAGACTGAGAAGCAAAGGAGAGTTTCTTCTGAGTTTCTTCTTCTGCCCTTTATGCAGTTGTGGGCTAGGCTCTCTCTTATCTGACCATTCTCTAAGTAGCATTTCTCCCTCCTCTCCCTGTTTCCCCAGGTCTTCCTCACATGCTGCAGGATAATTCAACAGTTCAATTTACGGCAGTGGTTCTCAACCTTTTTAATGCCGCGAGGCTCAACCATTCGTAAGTCGAGGACTACTCAACCGGTCGTAAGTCGAGGACTACTCAACTGGTGCAGCACCGTTTGCAGAATGGGACTTTTGGCGGGCTCAGCAGGGCAGAGACAGCCTGGACAATTCCTATTGGCTTTTGAAAGCCAATCGAATTAGACTCTATTCAAGAGAGTCTATTCGATTGGCTTTCAAAAGCCAATAGAATAAAAGGGAGGAGCACAGCTAAGGAAAAGGGGAAAAAATGGCGGACTGCGTTGTTTGGCAACCCCCATGAAATGGTCGTTCGACCCCAAATGGGGTCCCGACCCACAGGTTGAGAACCACTGATTTACAGACGTACAACTGTTCATTTAGTCACCCTTCGAAGTTACAACGGCACTGTTAAAAGTGACTTAGGACCGTGTTTCACACTTACGGTGACCACGGTCCCGTGATCAAAATTCGGACGCCTGGGCAACCGACTCCTATTTATGACAGTCGCACCGTCCCAGGAATCGCATCATCCTCCTTTGCGACCTTTTTACAAGCAACATCGTAGGGGGGAGACGGATTCCGTTAACAACTGCGTTACCAACCTAACAACTGCGGTGATTCACTTAACGACGATGGCAAGACAGGTTGTAGAACGGGCCAAAATTCACTTGAGAAATGTCTCGCTTGGTGACACAAATTTGGGTAGTGGTGGTGGTCTGTTGAGGACGACTGGTGATTGCTTAAAATAATTTTAAAAAATAATTTAATTTTTTGTCACTCCCATTTTCATTTTCTTTCTTTTATAGTTCTATTCCGCTGTTTAGAATAGAGTAGAATAACAGAGTTGAAAGGGACCCTGGAGGTCTTCTAGTCTAACCCCCCCTGCTCAGGCAGAAAACCCTATACATTTCAGACAAATGGTTGTCCAGCCTCTTCTTAAAAACTTCCAGTGTTGGTGTACCCACAACTTCTGGAGGCAGGTTATTCCACTGATTAATTCTTCTAACTGTCAGGAAATTCCTCCTTCCTTCCAGGTTGCTTCTCTCCTTGATTTGTTTTCATCTGTTGCTTCTTTTCTGCCTTCAGGCGCTTTGGGAAATAAATTGACCTCCCCCCCTTTTCTTTGTGGCAGCCCCTCGTATTTTAGCAACTCTATGATTGGAGTGGCTTCAGATCCATATTCTGCCTTTGCTGTTGTCTGCCTTGCTACAAGGCTGGCTGATTTCCAGGGCATTGCTTGCTGGACATAATTATTCCAGATGTTGCATTACTTCCTTTGATCATCAGTTCCCACCTCTCCGGCCAATCTACTTCACACATCGTGAAGATGAACTTGTCCCGGCTGTTAAAATTGATGGATGGCTTGGCTTGGCTGGCTGAAAATATTTATAGCCCCCTCCCTTCCCTCGCCCCCCCTCCTGCTTTCCACATCATCCGGTGATGGGTTGCAACTCATAAGAAGAATCCCGCGATGTAAACACCGAGGAGAGACATCCTAGTAACCCCAAGAGATGTCTGAGGGACAGCAGACACCGTGGACACCGTGTCCCCGGCGCTGAAAGGCAGACGAATGTCATGCTTGATATTCCTCGACGTCCGAAGAAAAGACATTTCCCCAAAAAAAAAAACAGACGCTTTTTGCTTTCATGCACAGCACATCCCTGAGATATGCAGTCAAGGAGTCGTCCGTCCTTGCACACAAGGAGATACTAACTAGATACTATAAGATTCATTCATTCTTCATTTTGGGGGCCCACCCGATTACGAGCCTTGGACGGCGTTGCTTAAAACCAGCGTGCTCAACCTCAGTGGCTTTAAGAGGGGTGGACTTCAACTCCCAGAATTCCCCCAGCCAGCAAGCTGGGAATTCTGGGAGTTAAAATCCACCCGTCTCAACGTTGCTGAGGTTGAGAAAGATTGACTTAAACCTTGAAGTCTTGAGAAAGATTGGCTTAAAGCAGTGGTTCTCAACCTTTCTAATGCCACGACCCCCAACCGGTTGTAAGTTGAGGACTACTCAACCGGTCCTAAGTCGAGGACTGCTCAACTGGTGCAGCACCGTTTGCAGAATGGGACTTTTGGCAGGCTCAGCAGGGCAGAGACAGCCTGGACAATTCCTATTGGCTTTTGAAAGCCAATAGAATTAGACTCTATTCAAGAGAGTCTATTCTATTGGCTTTCAAAAGCCAATAGAATAAAAGGGAGGAGCACAGCTAAGGAAAAGGGGGAAAAAAAACGGCGGACTGCGTTGTTTGGCGACCCCCGTGAAATGGTCATTCGACCCCAAATGGGGTCCCGACCCACAGGTTGAGAACCCCTGGCTTAAAGCAAGACGTGGACCACCAGGGCAACTCATTTAGGGGTGGTGCAATGTGGTCATGGAATCATAGGGAGCTTGGAGGTCTTCTAGTCTGACCCTCTGCTCAAAGTCTCTGAAGGATGTCTAGAGAATAGCCTTAGTGTTGGATCTGGCACCCGTTGCAGGTTTTGAGGCAGGGGTGTCAAACTCCATTTCATTGAGGGCCGCATCAGCATTGTGGTTGCCCTCGGGGCCAGGTGGATGCGGCCAGGGTAGGTGCGGCCTACTGGGTGGGTGTGGATGGAGTGGGTTTGGCCTACTGGGTGGGTGTGGCCAGCTCTACATCGTTTGCGTCAAGGGTGCCTGTGGGGGCCTGGCCAGGAGTGGGACAGATCTGGGGGTCTCTGGCAGAAGGGGGTGGAACCAAGGCATGGTCACTGGAGGAGCCCCACTGTTCCTCTCAGGCTATGCCGGGGGGGGGGCTTAGATGGCCACCAAAAAATTGTACATTGGCTCCCGGCCGGCCTGGGCCAGGGCCAAGGCAGCGGGGGCTGTTCCCTCACTGTTTCCAGGATGGCTTCGCAGGCCACATGAAACCACTTCACGGGCCGCATCTGGCCCCGGGCCTTGTGTTTGACATGTCTGGGGTAGAGTGTCCTGGAAGATGGGCCAGCAATTGAAAGGAGAGGCGGGTGTCCTTGGTGCTCTCTGAGCTTGGTGGTTTTCTGGCAGACGTTTCGTGACTCAAACTAGGTAACATCATCCGTGCCCTCTCGTCGGCACTGTTGATGTTACCTAGTTGGGTCATGAAACGTCTGCCAGAAAACCACCAAGCTCAGAGAACACCAAGAACCCCCACAGTCCTCTTCCTCCTCCTCTTCTGCTCCTCCTCCTCCTCCTCCTCCTCCTCCTCCTCCTCCAGCCCTCCCTCCCTCTTCCTGCTCTTCCCCCTGCTCCACTCCACGAATCCCACTCCCTTGTAGATTGACGATGTTATCTAGTTGGGTCATGAAATGTCTGCAAGAAAACCACCAAGCTTAGTGAGCACCAGGGACCCCACAGTCCTCCTGCTCCTTCTCCTGCCCCCTTCCCTCCATCCCCTCCTTCTCCTCTATCTTCATACCTCACTCCCTTCTAGCACTGATGATGTTACCTAGTTGGGTCATGAAATATCTGCAAGAAAACCACCAAGCTTAGAGAGCACAAAGGACCCCACAGTCTCCTCCTCCTCCTGCTCCTACTTCTCCTGCCCTCCCTCCCTCCTCCTGCTCTCCCTTCCTCCCTCCTCCTCTGCCTGCTCGCCCCCTCCTCCACTCCACGAAAACTCCACTCCTTTCTAGCACTGATGATGTTATCTAATTGCGTCATGAAATGTCTGCAAGAAAGCCACCCAGCTCAAAGTGCACCAAGGACCCCACAATTCAACCCTGAGCTACAGATGTTCTCCTTTATTGTACATATGGGAGACTACTGGAGCATGGGCTATGGTTCATAGGTCAGCCTAGTCCTAGGCCAGTGGTTCTCAACCTGTGGGTCAGGACCCCATTTGGGGTCGAACGACCATTTCACGGGGGTCGCCAAACAACGCAGTCCGCCATTTTTTCCCCCTTTTCCTTAGCTGTGCTACTCCCTTTTATTCTATTGGCTTTTGAAAGCCAATAGGATAGACTCTCTTGAATAGAGTCTAATTCGATTGGCTTTTAGAAGCCAATAGGAATTGTCCAGGCTGTCTCTGCCCTGCTGAGCCCGCCAAAAGTCCCATTCTGCAAACGGTGCTACACCAGTTGAGTAGTCCTTGACTTACGACCGGTTGAGTAGTTCTCGACTTATGACCGGTTGGGGGTCGCGGCATTAAAAAGGTTGAGAACCACTGCCCTAGGCACAGCTCCCCAGGTGTTCTCTGGATCACCAATGGTCATTAGGAACCCACTAATGGTGGGTTCCCACATCATCCCATACAAACATGTCCGGGTGGCTGATGTTTCCACATCTCCACTTCTCTGGGTGTACAAAAAAGGCCAAATCTCCTTCTCCACAACTCTGCCCCTGTTCTGAGCAGCTCTTTCTCACTTACTCTGTGGGAAGCGAGGAGGGTTATCGTTGACGTCACTAAGCGTGACCGTGACAGTTGTGCTTCCGGACAATCCACCAGTATGGCCTCCCATGTCCTTGGCCTGCACCACAACCAGAAATTCCTGTTGAGTTTCACGGTCCATATTGGGAGTGGCTGTCCGAATCACACCTAACATCACGGGGAGAGGGGAGGAAGGGGAGAATCAGAGAAGGACAGAGAAGGAGAATCGGCTGAAAGAAATTCCGGTTTCAGAGTCCCACCCCATGATGGAGAAAGGGAGGAAACCAGAGAAGGCAACCTGCAACATGGCTGAGCACATCCGATACACATCAGTTGTATGGGGAGAACATGGTGGCTGAACCAAAACTTTCAATGGTGTCTAGGCTCACGTGATGAGATGGATGGAGGGATGAATGGAGGGAGGGATGGAGAGATGGATGGGAAGAATGGATAGATGGGTGAATGGAAAGACTGTTGGATGGAAGGATGGATAGATAGATGGGAAGAAGGGATAGATGGATGGATGGATGGATGAATGGATGGATGGATGGATGGATGGATGGATGGGAAGAATAGATGGAAAGTTGGATAGATGGAAAAATGGAGGGATGAAAAGATGGACGGATGGAGGAAGGGTGGAAATATGGATGGATGGAAGGATGGATAGATGGGAAGAATGGATGGATAGATGGGAAGAATAGACGGAAAGATGGATGGATGAAAAAATAGATGGAGGGAGGGAGGGATGGGTGGAGGAATGGAGGGAGGGAATGGATGGAAATATGAATGGAAGGAGGGATAGATGGGAAAAATGGATAGATGGATGGATGAATAGAACAGACATAAAGATGGATGGATGAATGAATGGAGGGAGGGAAGGAGGGATGAAATAGCTGGAAAGATGAATGGATGGAAGAATGAAAGGATGGATGGGAAGAACAGATAGAAAGATGGATGAATGGAAGGATGGATAGATGGGAAGAATGAACAGATGGATAGATGGATGGATGGAAAGAACAGACAGAAAGATGGATGGAAGAATGAAAGGATGGATGGATGGAAAACTGATTGAATAAAATTAGCTATAGATGGATGAATGTTCAGAGGAGGAGCTTCTCCTTCTACTACATCAGTGTTTCCCAAACTGGACAATTTTAAGGCATGAGGACTTCAACTCCCAGAATTCCACAGCCAGCGTTGCTGGCTGTGGAATTCTGGGAGTTGAAGTCCTCATGCCTTAAAATTGTCAAGTTTGGGAAACACTCTACTACATCAACAGTCCCAGCAGAGAAGAAAGGGAGGCACCTTCACCCACATCTATCCAGCAACCCACAGGAGCTCTACTAAGCCTTTGTCTCAAAAGTATTTTTCAAGATCAGGAGAGGTGAACCCAGAGCTAAGAAAGTGAAGAGAGCCATCCCTCCCTCCATGGCTTTGAGAGCCAACTGGGTTATCTTCTCAAGCAGGGCTCTTCAAACCTGGCCCTTAGATAACTGGTGGACTTCAACTCCCAGAATTCCTCTGCCGGCGTGCCTGGCTAGGGAATTCTGGGAGTTGAAATCCACAAGCAGGGGGTCTTCAAACCTGGCCCTTTGATGATTGGTGGACTTCAACTCCCAGAATTCCTCTGACGGCGTGCCTGGCTGGGGAATTCTGGGAGTTGAAGTCCACGAGCAGGGTTCTTCAAACCTGGCCCTTTGATGACTGATGGACTTCAACTGCCATAATTCCTCTGCCTGCGTGCCTGGCTGGGGAAATCTGGGAGTTGAAGTCCACGAGCAGGGGTCTTCAAACCTGGCCCTTTGATGACTGGTGGACTTCAACTCCCAGAATCCCTCTGTCGGCGTGAGGGAACTTGGCCCTTTTATGACTTGTGGACTTCAGCTCCCAGAATTCCTCAACCAGCGTGAGGGAACTATGGCCCTTTGATGACTGGTAGACTTCAACTCCCAGAATCCCTCTGCCGGCGTGAGGGAACTATGGCCCTTTTATGACTTGTGGACTTCAGCTCCCAGAATTCCTCAGCCAGCGTGAGGGAACTTGGCCCTTTTATGACTTGTGGACTTCAACTCCCAGAATTCCTCTGCCGGCGTGCCTGGCTGAGGAAATCTGGGAGTTGAAGTCCACAAGCAGGAGGTCTTCAAACTTGGCCCTTTGATGACTTGTGGACTTCAGCTCCCAGAATTCCTCAGCCAGCGTGAGGGAACTATGGCCCTTTGATGACTGGTGGACTTCAACTCCCAGAATTCTTCTGCCGGCGTGCCTGGCTGGGGAATTCTGGGAGTTGAAATCCACCAGTCATCAAAGGGCCAAGTCTGAAGACCCCTGTTCTAAACACAGGGCCGGCTCCTTAACCTCTGGGAAGTTCAGAACATCTGCTTTTCCCACCAGGCTATCCCCACCAGCTACCGGTTGTTCCCCTGGAGGCCTGCTTTTTCTTCTCCCCCCTACAATGTGTGGGGGGGTGACACTTGTACCCCTTGCGGTCCTCCCCAAAGCTATCGCCCCCTCCCCATCGTGTACCCGTCTGGGGGTCGACGGAGAAGAACGGCAAGCCCTCGAGTACCGTATAGACCAGCTTGGCGCTGTTCCCGTAGGTCGGATCATCCGCGTCGTGGGCCGTCACCTGGATCACGGACGTACCTGTGGGAGCGGAGTGGGGGAAGGGAAAAAAGGGGGGGATGGTTGTGTGAAGGGCAGCGGGAAGGCAGGCGTCCCTCTGAAGGCCAGGATTGTTCAGAGCAAGCTCACGATCTGCCTAAGACTGGCTAGTTTGGGGTTTAACCCATCAGACCTGGCGGTTGTCTTAGCAGGTTGTGTGAACTGGACCATGGAGTTATTAGAACACGCTTCGTCCTTCCGTTATAGATTCAAGATGGGCAGTATTTAATATTTATTTGTTCTGTATATGTAGGGGTGTGGGTCTGTACGTATGTTGTGTATAGTATGTTTAGGTGTGTGTCATGTATGTGTTTCACTTTGAGAGCGGGCAACTCAATTTCATTTTTGATGTGTGCCGTGGTGCCCACAGTAAAAAAAATGACAATAAATCTTATCTTATCTTATCTTATCTTATCTTATCTTATCTTACCTTACCTTATCATCCTATCCTATCCTATCCTATCCTATCCTGTTGTTCTATTCTATTCTATTCTATTCCTTCTTTCTATCCTATCCTATCCTATCCTATCCTATCCTATCCTATCCTATCCTATCCTATCCCTTCTTTCTATTCTATTCTATTCTATTCTATTCTATTCTATTCTATTCTATTCTATTCTATTCTATTCCTTTCTATCCTATCCTATCCTATCCTATCCTATCCCTTCTTTCTATTCTATTCTATTCTATTCTATTCTATTCTATTCTATTCTATTCTATTCTATTCTATCCTATTCTATTCTGTTGTCCTATCCTATCCTATCTTATCCTATCCTATCCTATCCTATCCTATCCTATCCTATCCTATCTCACCTCACCTCACCTCACCTCATCTCATCTAACAGAATAACACTTGTGAGGGACCTTGGAGGTCTTCTAGTCCAGCCCCTTGCTCAAGCAGGAAGCCCTATACCAGTTCAGACAAATGGCTATCCAGTCTCTTCTTAAAAACCTCCTGTGATGGAGCGCCCACCATTTCTGAAGGCCAGCTGTTCCCACTGGTTAATTCCTGAATCAGAATACAGCTGGAAGGGACCTTGGAGGTCTTCTAGTCCAACCCCCTGCTCAAGCAGGAGACCCTATCTATACCATTTCAGACAAGTGGCTGTCCCATTTCTTAAAAACCTCCAGTGATCAGGCACCCACAACTTTTGGTGGCAAGCTGTTCCACTGCTTAAGTGTCCTCACTGTGAGGAAATTTCTCCTTAATTCCAGGTTGCTTCTCTCCTTGATTAGTTTCCACCCGTTGCTTCTTGTCCTGCCTTCAGGTGCTTTGGAGAACAGCTTGACTGCCTCTTCTTTGGGGCAGCCCCTGAGAGATTGGAAGGCTGCTATTATGTCCCCCCTCGTCCTTCTCTTCATTAAACTAGACACACCCAATTCCAGCAACTGTTCCTTGTATGCTTCAGCCTCCAGTCTCCTGATCCTCTTTGTTGCTCTTCTCTGCACTCTTTCTAGAGTCTCAACACCCTTTTGACATCATGGTGGCCAAAACTGGATGCAGCATTCTAAGTGTGGTGTTACACACTTAGACTATGCAGCCGTTTATGGCATTCAGCAGAAAATCCAGCCGCCCTATCACATAAAAGTACAAAAGTAATGTTGGAAAGAGACCTTAGAGGTCAGCTAGTCTGACCCTTTCCAGCCAGGAATCCGCAGCAACCCTTTAGCAAAGTCGAGAGCAAATGTTTGCATTTGGCTGCCCTTTGAAGGTCGAAGAAGAAAATAGCATTTAAAAAAAAAAAACCACCTCTGGAAAAGGCAAAGTTTTAAAATCCTCTCTTAAGTCCCTTACTTCCGTTGGGGATGACCGATTTATTTTCCTTTTGGCAACCTGCTGCCAGCCTCGCTCTGTTATTTCTAGGGAGCAGTTGAGTTCTTTAAAAATAAAACGCCTGGCCTGCTCAGAGGCTTATAGCAGAAACACTGTGGAAAAGCGCTCCCATAGTAACATAGATCAAACCCTCCAGAAACCATCAAACAGGCACAATCTCAATTTAAAGCAAGCGGAGAAGGGTCAGATCTGCAAACAGAAGGCTGGGGAGGGAGATTTCTCAAACCTTGCCCACTTTAAGATGGGTGGACTTCAATTCCCAGAATTCCCCAGCCAGCATGCTGGGGAATAAGTCACATTTTTTTTCAGGGCCGTTGTAACTTTGAACTGTTCTAACTCGAGGACTTCCTAGTTTCGCCCATTCGTGGACGAGGCCACCTGTAACTCTATGGCAGGGGTCTTCAAACGTGGCCCTTCGATGACTTGTGGACTTCAACTCCCAGAATTCCTCAGCCAGGCACACTGGCTGAGGAATTCTGGGAGTTCAAGTCCACAAGTCATAAAAGGGTCACGTTTGAAGACCCCTGCTCTACTGTGTGAGCCACAGGACCAAAGCCACGTCTGAACCAATGTAATAGGTTTAGGGGTTTAGGTTAGCGGTAGGGAGTCAGTGGGGGAGTTTGTTACTGGAGATGATTGACCAATTAAAACTTAATCCCACCTTCCACGTCTTGGAATGGCATGGCATGGCATGGCATGGCATGGCATGGCATGGCATGGCATAGCATAGCATAGCATAGAATAGAATAGAATAGAATAGAATAGAATAGAATAGAATAGAATAGAAGGAATGGAATATAGAATAAAGAAATAAAAAGATTGGGATGGGATGGGATGGGATAGAATAGAATAGAATAGAATAGAAATAAGGAATCGCATGGAATGGCATGGCATGGCATAGCATAGTATAGCACAGCACAGCATGGCATGGCATGGAATGGCATGGAATGGATGGGAATGGAATGGAAATGAACGGAACAGAATGGAACGGATGGAATAGAATAGAATAAGAAATAGAATGGAATAGAATAATAAAATATAGGACAGGACAGGATAGGACAGGATAGGATAGGATAGGATAAGAAATAGAATGGAATAGAATAGAATAGAATAGAATGGAATAGAATAGAATAGAATAGAATAGAATAGAAGCTGGAAGGGACCTTGGAGGTTGTGTAGTCCAGCCCCCTGCTTAAGCAGCAGAACCTCCCACCCCAATCCCCCCACGCTTTGGACCGAGTGTCCAGCTCCCTCCTTTTCCATCTGGCGTTAATGCTTTTATTTGTTAATGATTTAATCCAATGTATCTCTGTGATTGTTTGATTTCAATGTTTTTTAATGCTTTAATGTTTTTATGCTGTAGGCCGCCCAGAGTCGTTGGATACGAGACCGGTGGCAAATATATTTCATAAATAAAGAAAGAAACAAATAAATAAAAGGGCTATTTACTGAGATCAGGTTTTCCTCTGATTAAGTCTTTTCTTATTCTCCAAGTTAGGAACTTTAACATGAGTGGACTTCAACTCCCAGAATTCTCCAGCCAGATTGATGACTTGAGAATTCTGGGGGTTGAAGTCCATGCATGCTGGCTGGGGAATTCTGGGAGTTGAAGTCCAAGTTGCCAAGTTTGGAAAAACAATGGACACTAAGCCAACATTTTGGGCGGTTAAGAATCCTTGCGCATTCCTCAATTATAATTCAGGAAGGAAACACCCACTCCAGCTCAATAATACAGTAATGTTGACAGACAATGACAACATGCCTCATTTTAAATTGGCTTTTTTTTTAATTAGGTCTCTGTTCACACAATGTATTTTAGGGGGGTGGCAGAATTAGCCTCCAAGCTGGGTGCCAAAGCATACCTTGAACAAGAAATAACGCAACTGGGTTTTTTGGCATCCACATTTAGCCAGGAAAATACAGAACAGAGGTATGTATTTTACAGCCATCCATTCACTTCCCCTTTCTAAGTTACAATAACACTGAACCAAAGGGACTTGTGGGTCATTTTCACGCTTACGACCATTGCAGTATTATCCCTGTGGTCATGTGATCAAAATTCAGACACCTGGCGACTGATTCATATTTATGACTGTCGCAGCGTCCCACACGATCCCTTTTATGACTTTCTGACCAGCAAAGTCAATGGGGAAGCCAGATTCACTTAACAACCGAGTTACTAAACAACTGCCGTGATTCACTTAACAACTGTGGCAAGGAAGGTCGTAAAGTGGGGCAAAACTTGCTGAATAAATGTCTCACTTAGTAACAGAAATGTTAGGTTCTACTGTGGTGGTAAGTTGAGGCCTGCCTGTAACAGTCGAAAGGGACACAATTTGGGCTTAAAACTTCCGTTTTTTGGTCCATTCCACCAGTCCAACTGTTGGGACTCCACCTCTCCCGGAAGTTGCGTGAATATTATTATTATTTTTTTAGGGTGGGTGCGTGCAACAGTCTGGGAGCTGCCATGGAAAAACGGCCCATCGGTGGAGAGAATAAGAACAACAGGACCAGAAACGAAACACAAGCAGTTCTCAACTTACGTCCATTCATTTAGTGACAATTTGAAGTTACCGCGGCACTGAAAAAAGTGACTTATGAAAGTCATTCACCCTGACGACACTGCAGCCTCCCCATGGTCAAAATCTGGACACTTGGCAACCGGTTCATATTTACGACCATTTCCGTCATTAAGCAAGACGGTTCAGTGAATTTTGCTGCACTGTAAAACCTTTCTTCCCACAGGGGTTAAGTCAGGGATAGGCCACCTTGGCCCCTTCATGACTGGTGGACTTCAACTCCCAGAATTCCTGAGCCAGCCATGCTGAGGGGAAAGGGAGAGGATTCCAAGCTGAGCTGTTCTGGCTCAGGAATTCTGGGAGTTGAAGTCCATGAGTCATAAAGCGGCCTAGGCCTAGGCCAGAGTTAGGCAACCTCAGCTCTTTTATGACTTGTGGACTTCAACTCCCAGAATTCCTGAGCCAGCCACGCTGAGGGGAAAGGGAGAGGATTCCAAGCTGAGCCGTTCTGGCTCAGGAATTCTGGGAGTTGAAGTCCACCAGTCATCAAGGGAGCCATAGTTCCCCCATGCTGGCTCAGGAATTCTGAGAGTTGAAGTCCAGAGCCAAGGTTGCCTATCCCTGTTCTAAGCTCTATCTCAGGGGTCTTCAAACTTGGCCCTTTTATGACTCGTGGACTTCAAATCCCAGAATTCCTGAGCCAGCCACGCTGAGGGGAAAGGGAGAGGTTTCCAAGCTGAGCCAGGCTGGCTCAGGAATTCTGGGAGTTGAAGTCCACAAGTCATAAAAGAGCCAAGGTTGTCTACCCCTGGGTTAAGCGAACCACCGCAGTTGTTAAGTGAATCCAGCTTCCCCCCTTGACTTTGCTGGTCAGGAAGTCGCAAAATGGGGAATCATGTGACCCCAGGACGCTGCGACCGTCATAAATATGAGTCGGTCGCCAAGGTCTGAATTTTGAACGTCATCAGCAGCAGTTTCCCGTTGGGAAATTAGAGGTCCCTTCCTGTTGGGGCTCAGGAGGAAGAGGAATTCCACAGATCATCTGGAGATGTTCTCCTCACTTTTCCAACAACCAACTCACCGACATTGCTCATCTCCGGCACGGTGGCATGATAGGGGCCCTGCAGGAAGACGGGTGGGTTGTCATTAATGTCCTGGACTTTGATAATGAACTCCGAGGGTGGCTCCAGAGGCCGGTTGGACGCCCGATCCACCGCTTGAGCCAGCAAAGTGTACTGGGCCTTCTCCTCTCGGTCCAACGTCTTGGTGACATGGATGTTGCCCGTCTTCTCATCAATGACGAAGACAGTGCCTGCCCCTTCTCCGGTCAAGACATACTTGATGCGGCCCTCCCCACGATCCACATCCGTGTGCAACTGCCAAAGAGAAGGAAGACATACAAGGAAGGACATTGGCCAACGGGATGATAATAATAACAATAACAACAATAACAACAACAACAACAATAATAGTAAAGTTGGAAGGGACCTTAGAGGTCATCTAGTCCAACCCCCTGCTCAGGCAGGAAACCCTATACCATTTCAGACAAATGGCCGTTCGGTCTCTTCTTAAAAACTTCCAGGGTTGGAGCATTCACCGCTTCTGGAGGCAGGTTGTTCCACTGGTTAATTGTTCTCACTGTCAGGAAGTTTCTCCTTAGTTCTAGGTTGCTTCTCTCCTTGATTAGTTTCCATCCGCTGCTTCTTGTCCTGCCTTCGGGTGCTTTGGAGAATAGCTTGACTCCCTTCTTCTTTGGGGCAGCCCCTGAGATATTGGAATACTGCTATCATGTCCCCCCTCATCCTTCCCTTCATTAGACTAGACATCCCCAATTCCAGCAACTGTTCCTTATATGTTTTAGCCTCCAGTCCCCTAATCATCTTTGTTGCTCTTCTCTGTACTCTTTCTAGAGTCTCAGCATCTTTTTTACATCGTGGTGACCAAAACTGGATGCCGTATTCCAAGTGTGGCCTTACCAAGGCCTTGTAAAGTGGTATTAACACTTCACCTGACTTTGATTCTATCCCTCTGTTAATGCAGCCTAGCACTGTGTTGGCCTTTTTGGCAGCTGCAGCACACAGCTGGCTCATATTTAGGTGATTGTCTACTAGGATTCCGAGGTCCCTCTCACAGTTACTACTATTGAGCAAGGTACCCCCTATACTATACCTGTACATTTGGTTTTTCTTGCCTAAATGTAGAACCTTACTTTTTTCACCATTGAATTTCATTTTGTTAGATAGTGCCCAGTGTTCACTGTCTAACAAAATGAAATTCAATGGTTTCAATGAAATTCAATGAAATTCAATCTGTCAGAGTTGAAGAGTAAGATCAGGTGGGCCCATCTTCTTGAGATGAATGTAGAATAATAGCATTGCAAGGGACCTTGGAGGTCTTCTAGTCCAACTCCCTGCTCAAGCAGGAGATCCTATACCATTTCAGACAAATGCTTGTCCAATCTCTTCTTGGAAACCTCCAGTGATGGAGCACCCACAACTTCTGGTGGCAAGCAGTTCCACTGGTTAATGTTTCTCACTATGAGGACATTTCTCCTTAGTTCTAGCTTGGATCGCCAGTCCTCCCAAGCTGTGGACTTCCTATGACTTGAAGAACAGCACGTTACAATGGATCACATACCAGAAGATCACCCAGATCAAGGGTGATAAGGAACGGTTGCTAGAATTGGGTATGTCTAGTTTAACGAAGAGAAGGACAAGGGGGGACATGATAGCAGTATTCCAATATCTCAGGGGCTGCCATAAAGAAGAGGGAGTCAAGCTATTTTCCAAAGCGCCTGAAGGCAGGACAAGAAGCAATGGGTGGAAACTGATCCAAGAGAGAAGCAACCCTAGAACTAAGGAGAAACTTCCTGACAGTGAGAACAATTAATCAGTGGAACAGCCTGCCTCCAGAAGCAGTAAATGCTCCAACCTGGAAGTTTTTAAGAAGAGACTGGACAGCCATTTGTCCAAAATGGTATAGGGTTTCCTGCCTGAGCAGGGGGTTGGACTCAATGATCTCCAAGGTCCCTTCCAACTTTATTATTATTATTACTACTATTATTATTATTATTATGGATCATCGCACAGTCAGCCAGATGTTCAGACTGGATTTCGCATTTTGTCTACCTATCGAGTCCTTACCCAGGACCTGGGATAGGCAGATGTGGGTGTTTGATGGTATTACAGATATTGTCGCAGGATGGAAGCAGTTCCTAGTAAGGCCGCCTTTTGCAATTGACTAATAGCGAATTTGTCAATGCCAGTGTTGTTCAAGTGGTGCTCCAGTTGTTTTGGGATTGCACCCAAGGCACCTATTACTATTGGTACTAGTAATAATGGATCATCGCACAGTCAGCCAGATGTTCAGACTGGATTTGGCATTTTGTCTACCTATCGAGTCCTTACCAAGGATGATGATGATGATGATGATGATGATGATGATGATGATGATTATGGATCACCGCACAATCAGCCAAATGTTCAGACTGGATTTGGCATTTTGTCTACCTATCGAGTCCTTACCCAGGATATTATTATTATTATTATTATTATTACTATTACTATTACGTTTACAGGAACTGGGCATGGCTAGTCTAGTGAAGAGAAGGACAAGGGGAGACATGATAACGTTCTTCCAATATCTGAGGGGCTCCAACAAAGAAGAGGGGGATCAACCCGTTCTCCAAAACACCTGAAAGCAGAACAAGAAGAAACGGATGGAAACCAAACAAGGAGAGAACCAACCTAGAATTAAGGAGAAATTTCCTGATAGCAAGAACAATTAATCCATGGAACAACTTGCCTTCAGAAGCTGTGGGTGCTTCGTCACTGGAGGTTTTGTAGAAGAGACAGGACAGTCTTAATACTGTCTCTATTATATTGTTTCTGTATTCAGCATCCAATTAGTGGAATGCTTATTGATTCTGATCTGGCCTTTGATCGAATACAGAATTTTAAATATTTCCTCTCTCCCCCCTTTTTTTCTGCTCAATTCCAGGAAGATCACATCATGATGAGAAGTTTGGGGAAGTTTGCATTAATTTCTAAAATGCCAGTTCTGGCTGTGATAGAATTGACCAGGGAGAACTTTAGAGAAGAAAAGACCACGAATGAAGAATCTCCAGAAAGGAGAAAGGGGAATCAAACTGATGTAGTGGTATAGGGTCTCCTGCTTGGACGGGGTGGGTGGGTGGGCTAGATGACCTACAAGATCCCTTCCAACTCTGTTATCCTATATATATATATATATATATATATATATTATATATATATATATATATATATATATATATATATATATATATCCAAGAACAAGTAGAGAGGCCACATTGGAAACTTCTCAAGGAGAGAAGCAACCTGGAATTAAGAAGGAACGTCTGACAGTGAGGACAATCAACCAGTGGAACAGCTGGCCACCAGAAATTGTGGGTGCTTCATCACTGGAGGTTTTTAAGAAGAGACTAGACAACCACCTGTCTGAGATGGTGTAGTTCTCCTGCTTGAGCAGGGGGCTGGACTAGAAGATCTCCAGGGTCCCTTCCAGCTTCTATTCTATTCTATTCTATTCTATTCTATTTATTCTATTCTATTCCTTATTTCTATTCTTTATTTCTATTCCTTATTTCTATGCTATGCTATGCTATGCTATGCTATTCCTTATTTCTATTCCTTATTTCTATTCTATTCTATTTTTTATTATTCTATTCTATTCTATTCTATTCTATTCTATTCTATTCTATTCTATTCTATTCTATTCCTTATTTCTATGCTATGCTATGCTATTCTATTCCTTATTTCTATTCCTTATTTCTATTCTATTTTCTATTCTATTTTCTATTCTATTTTCTATTCTATTCTATTCTATTCTATTCTATTCTATTCTATTCTATTCTATTCTATTCTATTCTATTCTATTCTTATTTCTATTCCTTATCTCTATTCCTTATTCTATTCTATACTATGCTATTCTATTCTGTTCTGTTCTGTTCTATTCTATTCTATTCTATTCCTTATTTCTATTCCTTATTTCTATGCTATGCTATGCTATTCTATTCCTTATTTCTATTTCTTATTTCTATTCTATTCTATTTTTTATTATTCTATTCTATTCCATTCCATTCCATTCCATTCCATTCTATTCTAGTCCATCCAGTCCAGTCTAGTCTAGTCTAGTCTATATTTCATCCGTTGTGGCTAGTATGCAGGATTCTCCTCAATGTAAGATCCCTTCTGAGAAATTTCCTTCATACTTCAGATGGTGAAAAAGAGCTTCCATTTCTACAATATATGTATGTATGTATGTATGTATGTATGTATGTATATATATATTGTAGAAAATGAGGACGCCTCAAAACTGCCAAGTCCATCTCTCCCTCCCAACCATGGGAGATTCAGGGCTCACCCTTCCAATGAGAACAGGTTCTGGGCCCGAATATTCCTCAATTACGAAGAACTGGTTCCAAACCCAGCTGCGGCGAGTCCTGAAGAGCGGCCTCTCCCAACGCTGAGACAGGTTTCCCCGGAAGGATCCATCCTTGGCTCCTTGGCTGGGGGGCACGAGGCGGCCTGCGCAGCCACACCCTCCCAGCCAAGCCAGGAGAAGCTGCAGAAAGCTGACCATGGCTTGTCCCCGAGGTTCAGTCAGCTCGCCACGGGACGCTCAGCTCTTCTGCACGGCCCATCGAGATCGGCTACCCCATCTGGGTGGATCTGGACACAAGGAAAGAGATTGGAGCTTCAACCTGGCTTCCCCGCCATGATCAACCCCTGGGTCTTCGAAGGAACCCACCAGCAGAACATCTGGGCAGCTTTGGGTTCCGTGTTTCCAGCTCTACCTGTCTTGTGGTCAGATTATTTGAAGGACCGTCTTTCATTGAGGACCTCTATCATTTGATCCACCAGAGCAGTGGTTCTCAACCTGTGGGTCGGGACCCCATTTGGGGTCGAACGACCATTTCACGGGGGGTCGCCAAACAACGCAGTCCGCCATTGTTTCCCCCCTTTTCCTTAGCTGTGCTACTCCCTTTGATTCTATTGGCTTTTGAAAGCCAATAGAATAGACTCACTTGAATAGAGTCTAATTCTATTGGCTTTCCAAAGCCAATAGGAATTGTCCAGGCTGTCTCTGCCCTGCTGAGCCCGCCAAAAGTCCCCTTCTGCAAACGGTGCTGCACCAGTTGTGTAGTCCTCGACTTACGACCGGTTGAGTAGTTCTCGACTTACGACCGGTTGGGGGTCGTGGCCTTAAAAAGGTTGAGAACCACTGCACCAGAGCAAGGAAGCAGAGGATGTTATGGATCCTACGGAAGTCCCTCTAGTGCAGGGGTGTCCAAACTTGGCAGCTTTAAGACTTGTGTCCCAACGGTGCTTGTTTTTTTTCAGGAGGCAACTGGACTTCCTTTTTTTTTTCTTTGAAGACGGTTCCCTTCTCCTCCAAAAAGCTTCTTCAACTCTGAGCTGAGGAAGCTTCTTGGATGAGAAGTGTAACCTCTTCAACCAAATATCTTCATCAAAGACAAACAAGAAAGCCCAGTTGCCTCGTGAAAAGGCACCCTCTGGGACTACCGTGATCTGGAGGACTGAGAATCTCCATCGACATTTAAGACTTGGGGACTTCAACTCCCAGAATTCCTCAGGCTGGCTGGGGAATCCTGGGAGTTGAGGTCCACAAGCCTGAAAGTTGCCAGGTTTGGAGACGCCGGGGTCTAGTGCAGTGGTTCTCCACCTGTGGGTCGGGACCGCATTTGGGGTCGAACGACCATTTCACGGGGGTCGCCAAACAACGCAGTCCACCATTTCCCCCCCCCTTTTCCTTAGTTGTGCTACTCCCTTTTATTCTATTGGCTTTTGAAAGCCAATAGAATAGACTCTCTTGAATAGAGTCTAATTCTATTGGCTTTCAAAAGCCAATAGGAATTGTCCAGGCTGTCTCTGTCCTGCTGAGCCCGCCAAAAGTCCCACTCTGCAAACGGTGCTGCACCAGTTGAGTAGTCCTCGACTTACGACCGGTTGAGTAGTCCTCGACTTACAGCCGGTTGGGGGTCGCGGCATTAAAAAGGTTGAGAACCACTGGTCTAGTGGGAGCAAGGAGAAGGCCCTTCTCTGTGGTGGCTCCCTCCCTGTGGGGACACCAACCTTGCAGAAATAAGACCGGCCACCATCTTGACACTCTTTCGAAAGGCCCCCAAAGACCTGGGTTTGCCAATGGGCCCAGGGACCCCAAAGTGTCAAATTGTTGGTTTGATATTTGTGTCGCCGGGGGGGGGGGATTTATTGGGTTTTTGTATTGGGGCTTTATTTCTGTCAGCTGGAGTCGCCCTGAGGATGTTGGGCAGCCGTATACATTTTCTAGACAAACAAACATCTGCCTTGCAAATGGACGAAACAATCGGGGTCTCTTAAAAAGCAATCTTGGGATTCTGCGGTTAGCATGAACCACAGATCACATCCCAGCACCGAGCGTGTCTCTAGCCACACACGTGTTCCTCCTCAACGCCTGAACTCCCCTCCTTCTGCAAGCGTGGGGCGCAGCTGCTTCTTCTAAAATGAAGTGTCCTGATGAGGTAATTTCCAGCAATACTGATTCCCCAAAAGTTGGCTCTCCTCTAGCCAGATGGATCCCTTAACATTTTCATTGTGTTTCTTTTCCAACTTAGGGCAAGGCTGCTGCTCTCTCTGAAAGAGAGATCCTTTGAGTCTGGATTGGCATCTCCTTCTGCCCAGCAATAGAAAAAAATCGATAGGTGATAGATTAGATAGATGATAGATAGATAGATAGATAGATAGATAGATAGATAGATAGATAGATAGACAGACAGACAGATAGATAGACAGACAGACAACAGACAGACAGACAGAGGATGAATGGATGAATGGATGGATGGAGAGAGAGATATTGATAGAAATGATGGACGGATGAATGGCTAAAGATCTATCAATCTATCTATTATCTATCTGTCTGTCTGTCTGTCTGTCTATCTATCTATCTATCTATCTATCTATCTATCTATCTATCTATCTACCTATTTTCATCCATTCTCTTTGTCTCTTTATCTCCTTAGATAGATAGATAGATAGATAGATAGATAGATAGATAGATAGATAGATAGATAGATAGATAGGATGGACGGGCAGACGGACGGACAGACAGACAGGATGAATGGATGGATGGATGAAGAGAGCGAGATGACTGACAGAAATGATGGCTGGTTGGCTGGCTGAAGATCTATCAATCATCTATCATTATCTATCTATCTATCTATCTATCTATCTATCTATCTCTATCTATTTTCATCCATTCTCTCTCTTTATCTCTCATAGATAGATAGATAGATAGATAGATAGATAGATAGATAGATAGATAGATAGATAGATAGGATGTATATGTATATGTATATGGAGAGAGGGAGAGAGGGAGGGAGAGACAGACAGACAGACAGACAGACAGACAGACAGACATTGGGTACATGGATGGATGGATGGATGGATGGAGATAGAACATAAAAGCCCAGACCAGCACAATACCACTGAAAAAGAAAAACAAGAAATTCAAGAAGAAACCACCATGGTTGCACAAAGATCTCTCTGACAAACTGAAAGATGAAAAGGACAAATACAAAAAATGGAAAGAGGGGTACATAACTAAGGCGGTTTATCAGCTGACAGCCAGACCATGTAACGATGAAGTCAGGAAAGCAAAGGCTCAGAACGAACAAAGACTTGCAGCAGAAATCATGAATAATAATAATAATAATAATAATAATAATAATAATAATAATAATAATAAAAGTTTCTTCCAACATATTAACAACAAGAAAAAAGTCAAGGAAACTGTAGCTCCACTAAAGAGAAAAGATGGCAAGGAAATAACAAGCAACAGGGAGAAAGCAGAGCTGCTTAACTCATACTTGCATCAGTCTTCACACAAAAAGGAACTATAGCCTAACATACCAAAAAACAAAAACAAAACCCCACTGCAAAGGAGAAATTAGAAACAAAAATTAAAATAAGCAAGAAAATGGTAAGAGAACATCTATCCGACCTTGACGAACATAAATCACCGGGGCCTGACAGATTACATCCCAGAGTTCTGAAAGAGTTGGCAGATGTTATCTCAGAACCGTTGCACCACATCTTTTAAAAATCCTGGAGCACCGGAGAAGTACCTGAGGATTGGAAAAGGGCTGATGTGGTCCCCATCTTCAAGAAAGAAGGGGGGGGGGGAAAGGACTCAGGAAACTACAGACTAATCAGTTTTACCTCAAGACCTGGGAAGAGCGTAGAAAAGATAATCAAAAAAACAGATCTGCGAGTAACTAGAAGCAAACAAAGTTATAAATAGTAGCCAGCACGGGTTTGTTAAAAAACAGATCATGCCAAACCAATCTTATCTCATACTTCGACAAAATGACTAAACTAATAGACCAGCGAAATACTGTGGGCGTAGTATACTTAGGCTTCAGTAATGCATTTGATAAAGTAGACTACAATCGACTCCTTGGTAAATTAGAAAAAGCTGGAATAGACAACATCACGGACAGATAGATCTGTAGCCTGGTTGGCAAATTGTACTCAACGAGTAGTCACCATTGGCACCACATTCACACGGAGAGAAGTAAGCAGTAGAGTACCACACGGTTCCGTTTTAGGCCCAGTACTCTTCAATATCTTCATCAATGACTTAGATGAGGGAATTGAAGGGGAACTCATCAAATTTGCAGATGACACTAAACTGGCAGGAGTAGCCAACACCCCAGAAGACAAACTCAGGAACCAAAAATAACTTGACAAACTTGAACAATGGGCCCTATCCAACAAAATGAGTTTCAGTGTGGACAAAAGCAAAGTCTTACACCTAGGCAGGAAAAACCAAAGGCACAAATACAGATTGGGCGAAACCTGGCTCAAAAAGAAGTAACTATGAGAGGGACCTTGGAGTCCTAATGGACGATCACTTGATCGTGAGCCAGCAACGTGCAGCAGCAGCCAAAAAAGCCAATACAAGCCAATACATCAGAGGCATAGAATCAAGATCATGCGAGGTATTAGTACCGCTTTATAAAACCCTAGTGAGACTACACCTGGAATACTGCAGCCAATTTTGGTCACCACATTACAAAAAAGATGTTGAGACCTTGGAAAAAATTCAGAGAAGAGCAACTAAGATGAGCCAAGGCCTAAAAATTAAAACATATGAAGAACGACTGCGGAACGTGGGTTTGGCTAGTCTAAAGAAAAGAAGAAATAGGGGAGACAGGATAGCAGTGTTCCAGTATTTGAGGGGCTGCCACAAGGAAGAAGGGGTCACGTTATTCTCCAAAGCACCAGAGGGCAGGACAAGAAACAATGGTGGGAAACTGATCAAAGAGAGAAGCCACCTGGAATTAAGGAGAAACTTCCTGACAGTGAGGACAATTAACCGGTGGAATAGCTTGCCTCCAGAAATCGTGGGTGCTCCATCACTGGAGATTTTTAAGAAGAGATTAGACATTCACCTGTCTCTTGGATGGATGGATGGACTGACAGACACACACAGAGAGACATAAAGGATGGATGGATGGATGGAGATAGATAGATAGATAGATAGATAGATAGATAGATAGATAGAGATACAGACGGATGGATGTAGATCAGTGGTTCTCAACCTGTGGGTCGGGACCCCATTTGGGGTCGAACGACCATTTCACGGGGGTCACCAAACAACGCAGTCC